CCTCAAAATCCCCCCCCTGGGGACCCCAAAATCCCCCCCTGGGACCCCCAAATTCCCCCCCCTGGGACCCCCAAAATCCCCCCGAGCCCGAGGGATCCATCCCAGGACTCACCAGCAGGAAAAGCTTCTTGTAGCCGACCTTGAGGAACCCGAGCACGGCGCCTTTGGGGGACCTGGGGGGGATTTGGGGGGGATTAGAGAAATTTGGGAGGGATTTGGGGAGATTTGGGTGGGTTTAGTAGGATTTGGGTGGGCTTACAGGAGTTTGGGATGGATTTGAGGAGGTTTAGAGAAATTTGGGGGGGATTAGAGGGGTTTGGGGGGATTTGTGGGGGATTAAAGGGGTTTGGGGGGGATTTGGGGAGGTTTAGAGAAATTTGGGAGGGATTTGGGGGGGATTAGAGGTGTTTGGGGGAGAATTTGGGGGGGACTTGGGGAGGTTTAGAGGGATTTGGGGGGATTTGGGTGGGTTTGAGGGGTTTGGGAGGGACTGGACGGGGATTTGGGGGGATTAGAAATGTTTGGGGAGGATTTGGGGAGGTTTAGAGGGGTTCAGGAGAGAACTGGGGGGATTTCTGGAGGATTTGAGAAATTTGGGAGGAATTTGGGTGGGCTTAGAGGGGTTTGGGTAGAATTTGGGGAGAATTTGGGGGGCTTTAGAGCGGTTTGGGGGAGATTTGGGGGGGATTTGGGTGGGATTAGAAGGATTCAAGGGGAATTTGGGGAGAATTTTGGGGCAATTAGAGAAATTTGAGAGAGAAAAGTGGATTTGAGGTGGGAATTTGGGGGGTCTGAGAGAGGTTTAGGGTGATATGGGAGGATCTGCAGGATCCTGGGGGTGCGAGGGGGCTCTTGAAGGGGATTTTGATGGGGTTGGGGGATCTGGGAGGGTTTTTTGGGGTGATTTCAGACAGTTTTGGGGCTCTCACCGGGTGTCCCTCAGGATGTAGAGCTCATGCCAGTTGGGGGGTGTTTTATGGGGTGTTTTGAGGTGATTTTGGGGTGATTTCGGGGCTCTCACCGGGTGTCCCTCAGGATGTAGAGCTCATGCCAGTTGGGGGGTGTTTTATGGGGTGTTTTGAGGTGATTTTGGGGTGATTTCGGGGCTCTCACCGGGTGTCCCTCAGGATGTAGAGCTCATGCCAGTTGGGGGGTGTTTTATGGGGTGTTTTGAGGTGATTTTGGGGTGATTTCGGGGCTCTCACCGGGTGTCCCTCAGGATGTAGAGCACATGCCGGTTGCTCTCCATTCGGGCCGCGCTGGTCACGGGGGTGGAGAGGCCCTGGGCCTGCCTGGGGGGACACGGGACCCCCCATGACCCCCACGGGACCCTTTGTGACCCCGTCCTTCCCTCCCCGCACCCCCCGATTTCCCCTTGGGATCCCCCCCGTGACCTCCCGTTGTCCCCAGGACCCCTCACCGACCGCTGGGCCCCCCCAGCTCCAGCCCCCCATTGTCCCCTACCTTGGCCGAGGCCTTGCCCAGCTCATCGATCACCGTCCTCAGCTGCTGCTCCAGCTCCTCCCTGCGCCGAGGGGACACCGAGAGGAGCCATCGTCACCCCACTTTCCCCTCACGAAAACCCCAAAAAGCGCGGGGCCCGCCATTTCCCGGCATGCCCCGCGGCCGCCCTTCCCGCCCTGCCCCGCGCCAGCCCCGGTACCGTTTGGCGGTGCCGCCGCGCCCCGCGGGCCGCAGGTGCTGATCCACCACGCAAAAGCGCTCGCCCAGCACCGGGGCCAGGTCGAAAGGGAACTCCATGATGGAGCCCCGGGCCCGGCACGGCCCCGCCGCCGCCTCCGCCCGCCGGGCCCGGCCCGGCACCCACCGCCACGGCCGCGCCCGGGCGGCAAAGAAACCACGCCCCCCGCGGGGAGGAATCAGCCAATCGGGGCCGGGCAGTGCAAACGCCGACCAATCGCTGCGCTCCGTTCTGCCGTCCTTAGCGACCGAGTCCCGCCCTTAGCAACCGCCAGCCAATCGCTGCAGCGGCCGCGCCCGTGTATAGCAACCAAGTCCCGCCCTTAGCAACCGACAGCCAATCGTCGCTGAGAATTTGACAGCCCTTAGCAACCGGGACCCGCCTAAGGCGGTCCCTCACCAATGGCTGCCGCCCCTTCACCCGCCCTCAGAGATCAAATCCCACCCATAGCAACCGCCGCCGAATCGCTTCCGCTGTCAGAAATCAAGCCCCGCCCCTTGCGGCCCCTCGCCCAACCACTTCTGCTCTCCTGAGCTAAGCTCCACCCCCGGCGCCTGCGGGACCAATCACTACCGGCCATTTCCCCCTCCTAAGCAACAAGCCCCGCCCACCTTAGCAACCCGCTTTTCGCGCCACAGCAAAGCACGGCGGGAAACATCCCCCCCTCCTTCCCGCAGTGCATTGTGGGATATTCTCCCCTCCACGCGCCGCCATTTTGAAGCCCGGCCGCCATTTTGGCCTCGTGCCTCAGTTTCCCTGATAAGTAAAACCACAATTATGGAGGATTTTTAACGGTTTTATTTCCCCGACGGGCTTGGGGGGTTTTCCGGGTAATTCTCCTTGAGGAATCCCCGGTAAAGGCGGCGCATCCGGGCCACCTCGGCGGCGGGGGGCTGCTGCCACTCGTACCAGGGGTACCAGGCCCGGCCCAGCTCCCTCAGGGCGGGCGCCGGGGGAGTTTTCCCCACGGCCGCATGTTGGTTGGAGAAATCCTCCTCAGGGACCGGCACAAAGGGGACACGGAGCCACAGGAGACCTGGAAAGGGCCGATTTGAGGGGTTTGGGGGGCGGCCGGGGGGGTTAAGGATGATAAAATCCCAGGGTTGGGGCTCACCGTGGTCCTGGGCCTGGGCGATGGCCTGGGACAGGCGCTTGTGCTGCTTCAGGCAGATCCCTGAGGGGAAAAGGGGACAGGGACGGCCTGAGGTGACCACAAGGACACAGAGGTGAGTGACCACGAGGACACAGAGGTGACCCTCAGGACACAGCGGTGACCACGAGGACACAGAGGTGACCACGAGGACACAAAGGTGACCACGAGGACACAAAGGTGACCACGAGGACACAGAGGTGACCACGAGGACACAGAGGTGACCCTCAGGACACAGAGGTGACCACGAGGACACAAAGGTGACCACAAGGACACAGAGGTGACCACAAGGACACAGAGGTGACCACAAGGACACAGAGGTGACCACAAGGACACAAAAGTGACCACGAGGACACAAAAGTGACCACGAGGACACCAAGGTGACCACGAGGACACAGAGGTGACCACAAGGACACAGAGGTGACCCTCAGGACACAGAGGTGACCACGAGGACACAAAAGTGACCACGAGGACACAAAGGTGACCACAAGGACACAAAGGTGACCACAAGGACACAAAGGTGACCACGAGGACACCAAGGTGACCACGAGGACACAGAGGTGACCCTCAGGACACAGAGGTGACCACAAGGACACAGAGGTGACCCTCAGGACACAGAGGTGACCACGAGGACACAAAAGTGACCACGAGGACACAAAGGTGACCACAAGGACACAAAGGTGACCACAAGGACACAAAGGTGACCACGAGGACACAAAGGTGACCACGAGGACACAGAGGTGACCCTCAGGACACAGAGGTGACCACGAGGACACAGAGGTGACCCCAAGGACACAAAGGTGACCCTCAGGTGTCCCCTCACCTGTGTGGATGGGGTGGAAGATGACGCCGGAGTGGGGGCAGATGAACTGGTCCAGCAGCTTCACGTTCTGGAGAGGAGGAAAAAGGAGTAAAAAAAGAGATAAAATGGGGAAAAAAGAGGGAAAAGGGGGTGGAAAGGAGATAAGGAAGAGATAAAATGGGGAAAAAAGAGGAAAAAAGGGGGTGGAAAGAAAGTAAAGGAGAGCTAAAATGGAGAAAAAAGAGGGAAAAGTAAGTAGGAGCAGGAGGGAAACATAAAAATACAAGGAAAAGAAGGAGAGAGGGAAGAAAAAGGAGTAAAAAACAGTAAAATGGAAAAAGAAATAAAATCATGGAAACTCCATAAAAAAAAAGGAGACAAAAAAGGTTGAAAGAGAAAAGAAAGGGAGCAGAAGAGAGAAAAAGATTAAAAAAGATAAAAAAAACGATAAAGAAGAGAAAAGAATAAGAAGAGCAAAAAAGAAAAGGAGTAAAAAATGAATAAAAAAAAATAAAGCATGAAAACGAGAAAAAGCTGTAAAATACGGGAAAAGGAAGCAAAGGAAAGGGAGAGGAAACAAAAAAGGGAAGCAGAAGGAAAAGCAGGAGCAGGGGGCCAATGCAGCCCCCCCAAAATTCCCCCCTGGACCGGCCAAACTCACCCGAAAATCCACGAGCAGGTTCCGGTCCCGGCAGATGGGGCAGGGGCTCCCCACAGGCTTCCCCCGGCGCTGAGGGGAAAGAGGGAATGGGAGCGCTCCCAGTCACCCCCAGAACGTCCCAGTAACCCCCCCAGAATGTCCCAGTCACTCCCAGTAACCCCCAGAACATCCCAGTAACCCCCAGAACGTCCCAGTAACCCCCAGTAACCCCCCCAGAATGTCTGTCACTCCCAGTGACCCCCAGAACATCCCAGTAACCCCCAGATCATCCCAGTGCCCCCCGAAGTGCCACTGAGAGGCCTCAGACACCCCCGAGATGCCCCAAAATGGCACCTGAGGCGCCTCAAGAGTCCCCAGAACGCCCCCAATCCCTCCCCGAGGCTCTTGAGGGACCCCAGCCCCGCTGTGACACCCCAGGCCCCCCCAGATGTCCCCAGTGTGTCCCCAGTGCCCCCCAGTGCTCCCAGTACTCACCAGACAGGCCTTTCGGGTGCGCTGCGGGGGGACGGAGCCCTTGTGGTTGCGGCGG